TTGTTTGTGTGGGGGGGGGGAAAGACAGGACAAACGTATTCTTGGAATAGATGAAGGGGGAAGTTGGTGTGCAGATATTGATGCATCATCCAGCTTGACAGCACGCACACAACTGCAAGTGGGTGGTAAGCTGTGAGGATGGGGTGGCTCCAAACATTTTTGTTTGCTTAGTAAATTTACATGTGGGGAAGGCAAGGAGGAATAGGCTCTGGTAAGCTGCTTATCCACAGCCTTGTGTGGGATGCTAAAGGACTTCTCACGCTCTCTACTTCTATTTCTCTCTTGCCTGTTAAGGCTCTGTGCTTTTACAAGCAAGGGCTGTCTCCTTTGAGTCCAGATCTTAATGGACACTAATCCCTTCCTGGTTTTCCAAGGTGCTGGTGTAACATTGAACTTAGGCGAACAAAGTTTTTTAGGTGAGGAAGAGGGAATGAAGATTTGCAGCTGGGCCAAGTATTAGTGGTTTTCCACAGGGATGGCAAAGGGCACATCCGAGACACCCAGGCAAACCCCATGTCAAATTGTAATCCCCCGCTCCCACGCCCGGCCCTGCTGGAACCTCACAGCAGAGTGCAGAATGTTTTCTTTTAACAACATGATTTCACTTAACCTTGTACTAAAACATGGCTGAGGTATTTTAATGGAAATTTCCTTCCAGTAAAAAGACTGCAGCAGACACCTATAACAAACTGCTGGCCCAAGCCATTAGCGTTCAGCAAAATTATATGCAACTTAGGAAGTGGTTCTGCAATGGGAACCTTCAGCTATAAGGATTCAGAAAGGAGATTGCTAATATGGGCAAGCTCTTCACATGCGTAAACTGCAAAGGTAGAGGCTGTCTGACACCAGTGAAGAATTGCTTTGCCAATTGGACCTGTCCCAAAGTGTTTGAGCTGCTGCTTCTTCTCCAGCTACCCTTAGTAGCTGGCAATTCTCCACCCACCACGAACCAGTTCAAGCATCCCTCGCTGAGAAGCTCACTAGCAGTGTCTGTTGCCTGTTTAGCTAGCCAGCTTTCTGCCTAGGTCAAATCTCATCAAAACAGTACTTCTCTCCTCCTGTGCTCCTTGGTTACTTCTCTGTTCTCCGCTATCATTTGCTCTTTGATTCTGCTGCGTGCTGCTGTTCTGACCCACTACCCTCATGGAACTCTTCTTCCCTTCCAGCCCCTGCTGGCGTCCTCCTCTTTCTGCATAATCTCCTCCAAATAAATAGACTGCATGAGCAGGGCCTTCTCCTTTGCAGCTTTTGTCATGGGGAACAAGCTTCCAGCGTGTTTCTGCCTTGTGAACCCTTCTCTTTCTGTACCTGAAGTGAACCATCTCTTCTCCCCTGCTTACACCTCTTAACGGTCTCTCCTCCTCTGTTCTTATTTTTAGCACAGCTATTGTCCTGTAAAGCATTTCAAGGATATAATTTGTTTGAAAGAGGCCATGAAAATTTGGAGGCAAATCTTACTTAAATGAGGTCCCATGGGCTGTAAAAGGGCTACTCGGAGACAAGAGTGATCTTGCCCTCTGGAAGCATGGTTTAAACAGTTTTTTTTATTTATTTCTGTGCTTCTCCTTGCAAGGATCTCTCTCTGAGGCCCTGATCGCGCTGCCACAATGACCTTTGTGTTTGCAGAGAGACCTTTTGAAATCAAAGGGGCCCTTCATGAGTATCTGTCCATCTGGAAGTGATTGCAGAATTGGGTGGGGTGGAGGGCAGATTTGGAGCTTTTTGCCTGGAAACTGCAGATTCTGAAGTGACATAGGTCTACGTTCCTGATTTTATTTCTTTTAAGGGTGGGGGCAAAAAATAAAGTGGCCCACCCTATATCCTCGGGGGCAGAAATACACCCTGTGTGCATCAGCACAGCCCTATGATGGTCTCCTGTACACAGTGACAGCTTGAGCCATCGTGCAGATGTTTGGTTCACAACAACTGCATGTTTGGGGAACGGAGTCATGTATCTCGTGGAGCGAGGAGAGCTGGGGTTTGTTGTTGATGCTCCTTTCTCCTTCCGAACTGCAGCTTGTAAATAGTTACTTCAAGCAGGGGGGAGATGACAAGCGCAGGAGAGGGCAGCTCCTGCTGGAGAAGGGGTCCCCCCCAGCCTGTCCCCCTCCTGCCAAACGCCGCCGAGAGGGCAGCAGGGCATGTTTGCAGGCGACGCCACTTCGGGCAGAGCTTTGCTTTCGGTCCCTTTACCGCAGCTGCGATTCGAGATTTTTTTTTTAATTATTTATTTTTTCCTCCCCTCCCGC